ATATATATATATATATATATATATATATATGTCTTATTTAAACAAATTATTATTTTTTATTTTAAAAATCAGGACATTATTGTGATAATAATGATATTATAATAAACTAATACTAATAATATTAGTAGTATATAATCTTATAACATTTTAAAATCATATAATTATTAACCTATATATAATTATATTTCTTTAAAAGTATATTAATGTATGTTAATTTATAATTATTAAATTATTGTTTTACATAAAAATATTTAATAATATTATTAATATTAATTTATCATTAATTTTAAAATATTGAAATTCATTTTAAAAGTCGATAACTTTTAATAATTTTTTACACGAAGATTTCACTAATTAATTAGAACTTTAGTATGTGAAACATGATAATTATTTATTTATGTAATATAACTAAGTAAATGTTTTTATTATATATGTATTATAATAAATATAATAAAAATTTGTAATAAATAAATATTTTATAACATATAAATTATAGTATACTTTTATAATAAATAATTAGTTTAAATATGTTTTTAGTTCTTAAATTTAAAATTGATTTTTTAGTCCTTGAAATTTCAAAAAAAATCTCGTTTTAGTCTTTAACTATACTCAAATTTTATTAGAGAATATGTCAAATATTATTATATAAAATTTACATATTGATATCTCTGTTAGTGAAAATACACTACTAGAAAAGTGTCATTTTCATGTAAATTTTCCTATAAAAAAATATTTGCAGAAATGTTTTTACAAATTTTCTTACAAAAAAATATTTGTAGAAATATTTTGCGAATTTTCCTGCAAAAAAATATTCACAGAAATTTTTTGCGAAAAATAATTTACAGATATTTCTTACAAATTTTGCTACAATTTTAATAATCATAGAAATTTTTTTCCATGGTAAAAATTTGCAGAAAATATTGTAAGAATTTTATTTTGTTTCTTGCAGATTTTCTTGCAAAAATAAATTCGCAAGTAGTGTTTACTAAATGGTAGAAAAATTTTACAAGTAACTTTTCTTGTAGATTTTCCTGTAAATTTTAATTTGCAGATAAAATAAAAAAAATTAAATTTATAAGTTTAATATTTTAAAAAACTTCAAGTCCCATATCGATTGAAAATAAAACAATTAAAGAATATATAAGTTGGGGTAACACTTACCTTACAAGTTGATTTGTATGGTTGAGTGTTAGGCTTATAATCTACAATTAATCTTAGACTTTAAAAGATTATGTATCACATGTTGGAGGCATGGAAGCAAATGCTTAAGATGAATTCATTATGAGCATTTGAAAGTTAAAGAATTATTGATAGAATTTATAGTAATTTCTTTAATTTTTTTCGTAAAAAATATTCCTGCAGAATTTCTTGGGAAAAATTTCGCAGGAAACTTTCCTGCGAATTTTTTTCGCAAGAAATTTCGCAGGAAAATTTCCTGCAAATTTTAAAATTCGCAAAAAAATATTATCCATGAAGGTATTACCTGCAGATAAAATTTCGCAGAAAAATTTGTAGGAACAACGTTTCCTGTGAATCATTATGAGCATTTGAAAGTTGAAGAATTATTGATAGAATTTATAGTAATTTCTTTAATTTTTTTGTTAAAAATATTCCTGCAGAATTTCTTAGGAAAAATTTTGCAGGAAACTTTTCTGCGAATTTTTTTTGCAGGAAACTTTCCTGCAAATTTTTTTTTGCAGGAAAATTTCCTGCAAATTTTTTTTGCAAGAAATTTCGCAGGAAAATTTCCTGCGAATTTCAAAATTTGCAAAAATATATTATCCACGAAGTATTACCTGCAGAAAAATTTATAGGAACAACGTTTCCTGGGAATTTTTCATAAAAATTCGCAAGAAAAGTCGCATGTAATAAGAGAAATTCTAGTAGTGATATCACATTGTCTTAATTTTTTTACTTTCATATGTGTTATTGGTGACCTTAAAGATTAAAACAAGTTTTTTAAAAATTACAAAGACTTAAAATAATTGGTTTAAATTTGAAAGACTAAAAATAAATTTATCCTAAATTTGAGGGGTTAAAAATATATTTAAACCTAAATAATTTGTATTGTGACACAAAATTATTTTTAATATTCGATAATTTTGAAAAAATAAAAATAATTATAAAAATAATATATTCAAAGAGATAATAGGTTAAAAAATATTAAAACAAATATGAAAATAATATATAAAAAATATGAGATTAAAAATATTTAAATAAATATAAAAATAATGCATACGATGACATATGAATTTTAAAGATAAAAATAATGTATAGATTTATTTATTTTTACGATATAATTATACATAATGTTTATAGTAATGTATTATGTTTATAAATCATGTTAAGCCAAAATTTTTTAAATATTTTGAGTCTATATTAGATTAGACAATGAGAAATACAATGTTAAATTCATCCTAATTAACTAGTAATTTGTCCCATTATCACCACTATCATTTTAGGCTAAAATGCGCTTTTGATTTACTTATAATTATTAATATGCATTTTTTCCTTCTTTTTAATTACATGATTTTAGTGTCCTAATTTTAAAAAACTACTCAATTATAGTTTTTTCCTATAATTTTTGTCAATTAAATCATAAGTTCATAATGCGACATTAGTATTAACATAAATTGATGATGTGTCATTTTGGAGATAATATGACTACTCACATAAACGGATAATATGACACTCCAGTAATGACGCAAACAAGTAATATGACATTGAGATAGTAAGAAAATGTAATATTTATTTAAAAAATTATAATAAAAAATGACCTTATGAAAACTAAAAGTTATGACCTTCACTATAAAACTCACAATTTTAACTATAAGCCACTTAACTTTTTTTAATTATATAACATTATTTCTTGAATTAATTACTTTTAAACTCCTTAGCTAATATATTAACCTAATTTAAAATTAATAAATAACAAATTTATTTAATAAAAATAATATCTTTAGTAAATTAATTATATAATTTATTATTTAACATATTTTTCATACAATAAATATAAACATACAGTAAAAATATATTAAATAATAAAATTTATATTTATTAGATGAAAAAATATAGTAATAACACATTGAAAGAATATATATAATTTATTATTTAATATATTTTATACAATAAATGTAAAAATATTTTTTTTTACCATTTTCTAAACAAATCTTATATTTTTTTTGGTTATTTATTTATTAGTTTTTCTTGATCTATATAAAATAATCTAAAACGATGCTTATTATGGAATGTGGGAGTATTTAAGAAAACAAAAACAAATTTTTTTTAACTATTATATTGGCATGAAATATCCACCCTCTAAAATAGTATTGACTTATCTCCATTGAAGACCTTGAATGCACATAAGGTGGATTATTCTTTTTCTAACATAATCAATTTAATATCCAATAATTTCAACCATGAACAGCTGAATTAAAAAATACATGTCATTACCACACTTGCCAACCAACACTACAAAAGAAAAACATGGATTTAATTGGTTTTTTTTTAATGGGGTGATGTTAACAAAAAAAACAATGTAAGAAATAACATAAAAATATTTTAATAAAATATATTTATATATAATTAATTTAATATTTACTTACTAAAGTAATTAAAAGCATTTAAGAAATGTTTTATGAAATTTAATCACAATATAATGCACATGTTTATATTTTCATTCAATTACGTATTAATATATATAGTAAATTTATTGATTTTATAATAATCATTTTAAAACTCATAATTAATGAAATGATTTTTACTTATTTAACTTGATAAAAATCTTTACACTTATACTCCCTTTAGATATATATAAACAAAAACAACTAATTTTATATAGATTAAAAAAATATTTAGATGCATTTAATTTTTTCGATTTCATTTAAAATATATAATATATTTACTAAAATATCATTAATTATATTTATTACAGATAATGTTATCATTTATTATCTTAAATATTTTTCGTGTCTATTAAATAAATTTGAATTAATTAATTTTTTTTTATATTTAAGTCTAAAAACTTTAAATATTTTTATGCTTTATATATATATATATATATATATATATATATATTTATTTATTTATTCAGAGGGAGTACTGAATAAAATTAAACTATTTAGAATTCTATTTATTTTGTTTACATTTTAATTTTATGTTAATTAATCTTGCACTTGTTTACACCACTCTTCCTTTTTAAAAAAATATTTTTTAAGAGAATTAAGTCTCTGAGTTGATTAAGATCCAGACTAAACTCACGACAAAATAAAAAAGATGTTTTATCAAAATATTTACAAATTATTTACTAATGAAATTTTCAAATCCACAATTAAATTTAAGAAAATATATTTACACAATAAATTGTACCACAAATTATACAAAATATATATATATATATATATATATACATACATATTTGTAACTAATCCACAACTATTATTTTACCAAGGAAAATCATGTCCCACAAGTATAAAATAGTTCTTAATTATCAGTTTTGGGACAATCGCATTATCAATAAATGAAAATAAAAATGTTTGGAGCAACTACATTTCCTAAGAGAAAAAATCATGTTAAAAAGGTCTTCATGTGTAAAAACTACAATTAACTGCTTCAATTTCGGCATGAAAACTCACATGTATGATCATATATCAAACACGTTCTATCTGTTCGTCACATTATTTATTACATTGAGTAATGAGGGAGAGATAACGTATATCATTACTCTTAAAATTACAATCACATCCTTGTGGGGACCAATCTTAGTTGTAACTCTTCTCTTATTTCTTCATTGCTTCAACCCATGTAAACCAAAATGTCCGTTTTGCATCCATACAAAAAACACTCATGTTAATCTTGCAAACCTTAGTTCAAACAATCACACCATGGACCACAACAACAGGGTTCCAAGAATCCATGCATTTCTTCCATCAACACCATCACCACCACCACCACCACCACCTTCTCCTCCCATTCTTTCCTTCATTGTAGCTCTCACCATAGCAACACTACTCTTCATGTGCTTCTACTATTTCTCAGCCATTATTTCCTTTGCCTTTCTCGTGGTCCTTTACATCATCACCCTCCTCGTTTGCAGATTTGTGAGCACAGATGATGGAGCCTCTCCAAAGAAGAACCAAAGGGTGGTGAGAATTTTCAATAGGGTTTTCTTGGTTGTTGAGGAAAAAAAGGGGAATCATAGGCCACAACAAGTTAAGAAGTTTCTTCTAGGATCTGTTGTTTGTTTTGGAAGCCAAACATTGGCATCATCACCATCATTATCATGTAGGGAATGTGCAATTTGTTTGGAGGATTTTAAGATGGGAGAAGAGTGCCTTGTTTTTTGTGTTTGTGGCCACATTTTTCATTGTGACTGTATCAACCATTGGCTTCGGGAAAAACCCAGTTGCCCAATTTGCCGTCACTATGTGTCATCATCATCAACCACCATGGTCAACAATAATTCTAGAAGCATTGAATTCTTGGATAATTTAGTTTAGTGTGTGGATTTTGAAGTGATTTCTGGAACATGTTTTTGTATGTGTAATCATAGAGTTGTAGTAAAAGATATAGGAGTAAGAGTATTGTTAATTTTTTGCAGATTTTATTTTATTTTATTTTACAACAATGTGACTTTGTATACATTCTCCAAAATTCTCAATTCCCACAACTAGAGTGGGTAGCGTGCTCAGTATGAGAGTATGAAAATAGTAAATTAATCATATATTCCTTCATCCTCGTACGATACGTTTGTTTCACGTCCTTTACTATTCTCGGAAACATGGATTATTTCTGTATTTGTTAGAAAGTATCCATCCGGTTTTTTATGTAAGAAATAAATAATTTATCAAAATTAATAAAAAAAGTAACTAAGATAATTAATTTTTATTAATAATATCAAAGAATTAAATTTTATTTCAAAAACACCTTTTAAATTGATTAAATTTAATAAATGTGAGTTATATTGTTAATAGAGCAATAAGTGGATCTAATTGTACGATGGTATAAAGAAAGACACAAAAACTTAATTATGATTTCTTAATGCAGCTAAAACTGTTCTCCAACCAAAATTAGAGTTTCCTTCACTAATATACATTTGTATTTGATACAAATCTCATTAATATATATTTATGTACATTAATTACATAAATTTTAATTTTAATTAGAGAATAACCGCACCTGAATTTTGTCTATAAAATAAAATTAGTAATTAATATATCTTAAAGTAGATATTTGTTTCTTATAATTAGAAAAAAGGTGTACCTATTTATTTCTTATATAAGGGATTAGAGGGAGTAAAATATATTATTAAGTGTATATCTTTTATATTTTGGACAATTATATTATCAGTTTAGGTAGTTTTTATTTTGATGATGAGGAATGAGAAAGTGATATTTTTATGGAAACATGATATGTTATTTTTTATTTTAAAAAATATTCTAAAAAAATATTAAAGTGTAATTAAACACATTTTTAAATATATTTGAAAATAATATTCTTATAACATTCATTCATGAGAATCTTATTCATATGAATACAAAATGTATATTGAAACAAAACGCTCCGTTATAATCAGTTTGTTATATATTATAAAAAATTAACTTTGAGGTAAAGTAATTTGGTAATTGTCTTTTTTTAGAGATTTAAAAATAAAAGCAAAAACTAATTTATGCATATTATAACCATAAAATACTTTATGAAAAATGAAGTATTTGGTTTTATAAAAATAGTTTCTGTTTGAATCAAGTTTTTATTATTTTTTTAAGTTTCTTTATTATTTAAAAAAGCTAAAACAAGCACATAAGAACTTTAATTTTTATTTATTTATAAAAGGTGATTATTTTATGAAAAAAAGTAATGAGCAACAGGCCCTCATCAAATTTCCATCTTTTCCGTTATTAATGTTAATTGTTATTAATGGTCAACTCATATTAAATATTTGTTAAAAATGGATATTAACATATATTCATTAACAACATGTCATATATTCTTTTGAATCCAAAAGTATCATATAATTCATTTATTTAAAAAATTTGATTTAACAATTAAATTGTTAAGATTTAATGTAAATAATAAAGCTATATATTAAATAAAATAATTTTATCAAAAATTATTCTTAATATATATATAT